GAGATTGTTAACCTAACTTTTTATGTGCTATACCTGATTTGGTATTTTATTTTCTCATGGTCATCGCTTGATTGCTTGTCTTGATTGCCGTTGTACTATTCTGTATCTCTGGAGATCCAATTCCTATTTTTGTATGATTGATTTTGATCTACCGACCATTGCCTATAACACGGTAGAACGATTTCCCAATTCGCGTATACTCTTTATTATCCGATATCTACGATCTGTTTAGAGCTAATCAAGTCATGTATGTTTCGCCGTTTTTAAAAAGTTGAATGTAATAAGTAAATTCAATTTTGGTTGTTTTGAATTTTTTTGTCGGATTATTTGCCTTTTGCTTAAACAATGAATTGTTTAAATATGGTAATTGATTGATTTGTTGTTTTTGAATAGTGCTATGTAACGATAATTCGTGGCTCTGTCCGCATCCGTTTTACCCTTGAACTGGTTAGAAAATTAATTCAAATCCCTGTTAATAAACGGATTGATCTTAGCATTTCCAGATTCAACCCTTTACTGGCGTAAAAAAATTCATCTGAAAAACCGTTTTTTAATTTTGATTTGTACCTTACCGATTAAAGTATCTAGTATTTATGATTATTAATCTTCCGATTGGTGTGTTTTAGAGCGAGAATGCAATCTTGCGATTGATTATCTGAACCGGTTTTAAGACTAGATCTAAACTTGTCCCTGATCCGATCCCAAACTCGTTCATCGTGAACATTTATTCTAAAAATAATATACCGTAGTTCTGAAAATGATCTATCCTTTCGGTTTACTAATTTATCTTATATAAATACGTACAGGTAAACAACCAACCCTTATATAGTAAAAAAAAAATTAACATTAACTTAATACCAGTACGATCACATGAATGTGTGACATAAATGTGTGAGGTATGGTTTTCCGTTCAACTTTTTTGATGTGCGCTATGCTGATTTTTGACAAATCCTTTTTTAGTATAAGTAATGGTTTTCATTTATCCAAATCTAGTAATACGTACTGACACGGCGTATTCACATGCCATCATGCTGGTGTGGGAAAAATATGTGCGTGTGAAAATTACATTT